GACGAGGCATGGATATTTCCAGAGCGCTGGTGATCATGGTGAGACGCAGTGGTGGCAAGTCCCAAGGCAGGAGCAGGGCAAGCCACGCTCTGGCTTTCAAGAGCAGTTATCCACCAACTGATTTAACTCTGTTTCTTGGAAAAATACTGGAACAAATTATTAAATAATCAATATAAGCACCTAGATAATAATAAATTGGCAAGAAAGAGCTGGCATGGCTTCCTGTGGAACAAATCGCATCAAATCAATCTAATTTCCTCCTCTGACAGAGTAACAGGGAGAAATGTGATATGTCCTGACTGTGAAAAGGTTCGGTATCACATGACAGTCTCACAAGCAAATGTGTGACAAATGAGCAAAATAAGAACATCAACAAAATCCCCCTAATTCAGGTGCATAAGCAGTAGAAAAACACTTCCCAAAGAGGCCATTTCAATGGGGACATCAGAGCCTGTGTTTTTCACTGTGTCCATTAACGACCGATTTGTATGATAGCAAGATAATACGGTTTTATAAACGGAGAGGTATTGCAAGCAGCACAGAGGACAAAATCAGAAATTAAATTGATCCTGATAATGAGATGAAATCTGTAAGCTGAAACTCAATGAAGGCAAATGCAAAATACTGTGCTTGGGAAAGAAAAATCGAATGTACAAATACAAAATGAGAAATAACTAACAAAGCATCTCTGAAAGGTAGATAATACCAATTACCCCATGACTTCTGTCTGTGTGCAGAGTACTTTTTTCCCTATTAACCTAGAATTTACTGCTGTAAAGGACATTCTGTCGATGTTGACAGAGCTGCTAAAAAAATCACTTTTTTATTTTAGCAAATTTCTTTTCCCAAGGTTCAATCCATCAGAAAGTAACTTTTTTTTTTTGAGTTTGTGTAGAAGAACCAAAAAACTACCAAACACTACCAAAAGCCCAGTTGTTCTTTCTCTTGGTATTTGACTCCTTTTCTCTCCTCTGTTACATTTTCAGAGTCCCTTCTTGTTGCTTATTTCCTGATTTTATTCTGAGTTCCAATTTTGTTTCCATCATCCTTATTTTGTTATTGCTCTACCTAACTGAAGTAGAATTAACCTGCAATTGTAAATGCAGGTTTAGGACCCATACTCCTGACCAGATGTAGCGTACAATGCTGTGTGATTCGAGATGCCTCTGTCACAGGGGAGCCATTCAGTCTAATTTCAGGGTCCGTCCAGTTTAAATGTTTGGGAATGGTTTGCAGAGGGGTAAAGGGGAAGTCAAAGCAACACTTTTTTTTTTGTCTGAAGGGGTGGATTTTTCAGCTTCCCTCTGTATGTCCCTGCTTTGATCCCTTATGCGCCCTGTGGGCCATGTCTGGATGAGGGCAGACCAAGAAGCATCATTTACACCCTGTCCAGCTCACAGACATTGGTCTCTCTTCTTGATCTCACACAAAGACTATCGGGTAAGGAGGGAGGAGAAACTGCCTCTCTGTTTAATCAAAAACATAACAATAGAATCCTATTCTAAGACCCGAAGGCAGCGTACAGCCTCAGGGACAAACAACACTCGTCATGAGCTGAGAACCGTCATGAGCTGAGAACTGTTGCTCTCATTACTCTTTTTCAGTATCACAGTCAGTTAGAGATCACAAACCTCAAAACAGATTTTCAGCTAAGTTTACTACCCATGATACAATTCCAGCAACCCAATGGAGTTGCAGCATGTATGAAATAAGCTTCTCCTTGAAGAGTGCAGTGATGAGAGACAAACTCTTGCCATAAATTCAGGAAAAGTCACCCAGTATCTCAGTGTGAATATATTCTGCAATGCTAGAACTGTTCTTTTTTTTCCCCCTTTCCCTGCAAAGCTCGAACATGTAAAACACAACAAAATACTTCACCTCTGAATGCTACGCACCACAACATGGAACCAGGAGCTGGCAAGAACCTGGGTGATGTGACAGCTGTGCAGGCTGGAGGCACCAGGCAGCCTTTGGTGGCAGCTTCAGAGGGACCCGGCGGCATCGCAGAGTTCAGTGACTGTCCCAGGCTGGCCCCACGTGCCCCTCTTTGCACACTCACTTTGACAGACATGCTCAGACCCCCTGCAGGGTGCATGGACTAAGCAGAGGGTTCAAAATTTCACACATTTTAATGTATTTTTTTAAAAAAAACAAGTAAATGAGGATTCAGAACAGGTCCCATCATGTTTTGCTTTACAGAGAGATACCCACAGATCCATTACATGAAAGCAGTAGACATAGATAATCTTAAAATCCTCCAGCCATACACCCTACTCAACTGCAGACCCCTTGCAGGACACAGGCTCTCCTGCGCAAACACTACAGCCAATGCCAGAGAAAGAAGAGTTTCACATGGAACCAAATCCCCCCCAAAAAAGTCAGATCCATTTCACAGTTTAAGAGGGGTCTGCATCCAAAGGCCTTGGAAGCCCTAATCATCCTCTGAACACAAATGGGACCAACTTGCAGCTCCTCTGATCCATCCCTGCAGCTGTCAGCAACCCAACCCCCTTCTCTGCGGGCTGTGGAGGGGGCCCTTCGTGAGGCTAAAATAAGCAGCCGTTGACCAGCACTGGCAGAGCACTATTTGCATGACCTAACATCTTGCTCAGGAAATGCAGGATTAGAAATGAAGCACTGAAGAGTTTCTTTCAGCAACAAAAGTCAGGAAAAAGCAGGGAGTAAAATTCTAGAGCAATAGTAAGGCAAAACCATGGATTTGGCACGTCTGATCTGCTTCTCATCTCTCAGTCTAACGTTACAAGATGTAGTACCTCATTAGAATAGTAAGTCACTAGTTACTAAACAGAGAGAACAGTCTCTGATTATGTTTATCTATTTCATAGGGCTCAGCCTGAGGATATCAAATGGCTAGAAGAGGGTTTGCTTTTGTTTTTCCAGATGTTTATTTCAAAAATGTGCAAAATGGGATACACTGACAGCGTTGTAATTCTACTACGACTGATCCACGGCCTGTTGGATAGCCCTTCTGCCTGGCCCCTGCCCTATCCCCACCCTCCAAACGCTACGTGCAAGACTGGGGACACACCAATGATCCGAGCAGCTAGGGCAGCGCAGGGCTCAGCTCGCCCAGGGTCTGCAAGCAGGGAAGGAAGGCTTCGCCCACAGCTCAACATATGGTGCTACTATGGAAACTAGAAAATAACATTTACTCAAAGGATGGAAGGGGGACGATGTGCTAGGGGCTGCTGTGCTTCCCTGCATGGGCACCCATCCTCTGGGGGTCTTGAGAGGGGTAGTGGATGGGGCCTGGTGCTCTCATGAAGGGTGGAGGGGGGCCCATGGCATGGAACATGTGTGGTCCAAAACCTGCAGACAAAGAACAGAGAAGCCGGGTTCAGACAAAGCCACGGAGCAGGCAGTGAGATAAACCACCGTTCCAAGACACCACACAAAGCTCCTAGCAGCCACCTTAGAAAGAGGGCCGATGCTCCCAGATTTTTCAAAACCCCAAATTCTCCTCTCTTCCTTCCAGTGGAACTTAATCCAACATACATTTTTGCTCACAAACATGACCTGGTGGCGGGGGGGGACGAACACAGTGGCCTATAATCACAATTTTAATACTTTCTTCTCAACTATAAAGCAAAGCAAATGCATCCACAATGGTCAAACATACCCACTGTTTCCTTAAATCCCACAGAAAGGTCGTCTCCAGAGAGATACATTCACATAGCTAAACATGGGCTTACAATCAACTACCCATAGACTCACCTTCAAAGTTCTGCTCACTGCAGCACTTACACAAAAGCACTGAGAAGGTCTCAACACCAGTACCAGGAACCTCTGACTCGCACTCAACTTTGCAGGTGAACACACACAACTCAGCTTCACCAAGCTGTGCCAACAGCTCACTTTATAGCACCAGCATTGCATGATTACAGGGGAGGAAAACCAGCACAGGGTGTGCATAAGCTACGGCCCAGGCGAGCAAGAAGGATTTGCACTTCCAGCCCTCTGTGCGAGGGCCCCAAGTTAGATACTCCCATGCAAACAGGAAAAACAAGTACCTGGAGGTGGCGGTGGAGCGATGCCAGGAGGCGGCGGCAAGGCGATGTTCACTACGGCCGGAGGGCCGCTCGGAGGTAGGTTGAAATAATTTGCAGAAGCCTCTTCCTCGGCAGCTGGAGGCGGGGGGAGAGCTGCAGCAGAACACACGGGCGTTACTGCAAATCTCCTTGCAAGCCATGCAGAGGTACCTGCCTGCAGCGGGGAGGCAGAGCCTGCTCTCCCCCGTGGGGAGGCTGCCACTGCCTGTGCACATCTAAATAGCAGCGAGAAGCAGGACTGTGCTGAACCTCCAGAACTGGCAGCATTTTCTCCACAAAGAGCCAGCTTCACTTTTTCCATCAGACAACACTCAGGGAATTAGGAATACACTAGCTAGGTGTTGTGCAGTGCAAGCTGACAGTTTCTCTAACCTGAATTATTTTACTTTAGTGTAGCTTTTCACTTGTGACACAATGAGGCCTCTTTCCACCCAGAACTTGCTTTTAGGCAAAGCTCTCCTCTGATCCCAGCAGGGTCTGCTCAAAACATGCTGTCAATAACTGCTCTGGGCTCACAAGCGCCTCTGCTGTCCCAAATCTCCAAGACCAAAATAGCAGAGTGCAACTTCAGTGTCTCAGGCAGCATTTGAGGGCAGCATTAAGTGTTTCAGAAATCCAAACATGCCCCTTACCTCCCGGGAGTCCAGGAACCGGCTCCAGCTTTATCCCAGATTCCGTAGTTCCTTCCTTGTCCTTTTCTTTTCCTCTTGCTGCCTGAGACCTAAAATCCCGACAAAAGATTGAGGGGAAAAAGAGAAAAGGAAACAAAAATTAGAATGAGCAGATATTACCACCACAACCATTTCACATCATCCAATCTAGATCCATTGCTTCGGACAAAGATAAAAATTCACAGAATGTCAGCAACAGTCAGTACAGATTGAGCTAACAGTGCTCACAGGAGCCAGATGAGAACCTCACCTACAGTGACCCAACCAGAAAACCCCCAACAAATTACACTCCAACCCAAATCTCAGTGCTGAAAGAACATTTTAAGAGGACCCCTGATAATCATCAATTCAGTGTCTACCCCAACCCATCAAAACTGTGTAAAAGAACTGAAGAATCACAGCTGGATTTGAACCCCTCTGCACTTCTAAGAATCAAGTCTCCAGAGGACAGCAGCCACCAGACACAGGAAAAAGACACGATGCTTCTGGCCATGCCACGCTCACCTGCCCCACTTGACATTGAGCCTGCGACCGTTGACAATAAGTTTGTTGAAGGATTTCTCAGCAGCCACCTCTGCAGCTTGCCGGGTGGCAAACTGGATGAAAGCACATTGCTGCCTCTGTACTACAGTTATTGTCCGGATCTCCCCAAACTGGTAGAAGTGATTTCTGTATGAAAAAAAACGTGTGTTAAACCCCACTGCTTTTACACAACAGACCACGGGCTCTAATATGATCATGCAACGCGCTCACATCCTTTCTTCTCTCCACCACCAGTTCAGCCTAGCCATTAGAAATGATGTCCCTTGCTCCTCTGTAATCACAGAGCAGTAAAAGAAAACCACAGCTTCTCCCAGAGGCTAAGTAGAGAATAGCTATGGGATTTTTCTGTAAAAAGCATAACGTGGTATCCTCAAGAGTCTGAGGATGACTCATCTTTGAAAGAAATTTTAATCAAAGCACATAACGTCCTTGTTTATCTGTCCTCCAAGAAGCTAAAACTCCTCTGCACTCACCCACCCACCAGTTCCAACAGGATTTTTCTCTTCTTGCAAGAGAAAAAAATCTTTCAATCGTGAACCCTCCGTATTGCAGGAATAATTCTGACAGAGAATGCCCCTAAGGTTCCATAACGAAGGATCACGTTAAGAAGCAAGAGCAATACAAATGCACCAACACACCTGAGATCTGCCTCGGAGATAGTATCTCCAAGCCCTCCAACATACAGGGTAGTAATAGTCTTGTCATCAGGGGGGTCCAGACGAGGCATGGTTGATGCTCGCTTCAAAAGTTTATCAGCCACGGGGTCATTAATTCCGTAGTAACGATCTTTGATGTTCTGATCAGCCAGAGGATCGTCTGGATCTGTAGGCTTCTCATGTCTAAGGTTCAGTAAACACAGTATTTCATAACAGCACAATCACAGCTGCATCAGATTAACATGCCTGCTACCTTCCCTTCTAAAGGCTGCTTACATCCTTAAAGCTATTCACACAAACATACTAAAATGGAAGAGAGACCCAAAAATATAAATTCAGCTACGATCACATTATAGCTTGGGCTGCTTTGAGCTCCAAGTGATTAGCACTCCTGAGAGCTCAACATTCAACGCTGCAGAACGGCAGAGCTGGATTTCAATCGGCCTCTTGTTCAGACACAAAGATCTCTGATTGAGGAGGCTGACGCCACAAGGGAAGAAATGAACTACACGAGAGAAGAGCTGCATTCACAGCTCCACTAAAGTGCTACAGGACCACGCTGCAAATCCTTAATGAGAGCACTTGCCGTGACAAGGGCTCATCTCTGGTGCTACACATCAACTTACAGCAAGTTTCACACTGACACCTCCTGTTCTTCAAACCCTTAGCTGAGCATGAAGGGCACGTAACTGCTTAAGCTGTATCCATACCTGTAGGGACACTCTTCTCCTCTCTTGCATTCTCCCTTCACCCAGAAGGAGCAGATATGGGGGCGATTCCGTTTGTAGTAAGGGGTGGTCCGGGCCAGCTTCAGCAGCATGTCACTTGTGGAAGTAGCTTTGCCTAGAGCACCAACTGGTCTGGTGCCATCAGAGTTGGCTATCTAAGTAACAGGTAGAAGACAGATAACTAGATATAGGTCATTACAGAAAACTAATGCACAGAACTAGGGGAAAGGAGAGATTTTAAGATGACCTGGGTCATTTCTTTTCAGAACAAGTGAATTTGGCTCCTCTCTCTCCTACACACACCCACAACGTGATTAGAAATGGACTTCCTTACCTCTCTTTCCATGTTCTGGGTGTAGTATTCTTTATTAACGTCAGATTTAGGCATTTCATCCTTAAGGGAGAGTCCGGCATCCCGGACTTGAATCGGCAAACCTAAAATCAAGTTAAAAACCAAATCCATATTAATCACAAGCTGAAAAAGGGAAAATAATTATTAGAAGCTGCATTAGCCAGGTGCACTGTACACCAACCCCGCTCCCAAACCTCAGAAGAGACTTGATCATTGAGGTTTGATCTCCTCAAAGTCTGTCAGGAGCCAAGATAACCATGCCAGTTACAAGCATATGTTTAAGGACATATCACCAACT